TTTTTTTTTTTTTTTTTTTTTTTTTTTTTTTTTTTTTTTTTTTTTTTTTTTTTTTTTTTTGCAGACAATGATGTAAACTCTCATCCCTACGAATCAGAAATACTCTCGTTGTTGGAAAATTCTTCGTCAGAATTTGATTTTATTAGTAGTGAAAGAAACGATTTTACTTTGAGTGACACTTATGTTTGGGTTGAGACCGCTTCTCAATTGGAAGAACTCGTGGATGTGTTGAATAAAGAAATGGTGTTTGCTGTTGATACCGAGCAGCACAGTCTAAGATCTTTTCTGGGCTTCACTGCTTTAGTACAGGTAATTTTCTCTCTCTCTCTCTCTCTCTCACACACACACACACACACACACACACACACTCTCAAAGGGCCTCTGAACACGTAAATGGATGAATCTTTCCTCACAATCCCCGTCTATTTAATTGTCACGTTCATGTTTTTGTCTTTTTATTTTGTTTGAAGCAGATTTCTACCGACAAGGAAGATTATTTGGTTGACACTATAGCTCTACATGACTCAATGAGTCTTCTACGTCCCGTCTTTGCCAATAGTCATATTTGCAAGGTATCGAACTATATGCTTGGGTACTGATTTAAGGGTTTGATTTCTGACAAGCTTGGTACCTAGATTAAAAGCAATGTTTCAGAACCCCATCAATTTGGTATTGATGAGAAAAGTGAAGCAGTTGCATCAGCTGGAGGAATTCTATTGATTCTCTTCTTTGGGTTAATGTTTTATTTGGTATTAGAAAACTTTAGTTTATGAATGCAAGGTACCCATTAAATTAGTTTTTGTGTTTAGGTGTTTCATGGTGCTGATAATGACATTCTCTGGCTACAAAGGGACTTCCACATATATGTAGTCAATTTATTTGACACTGCGAAGGTGAGGATATGCTTTTTAAAGGAAAGAAATATTACCTATATAAGGAGGAAATATGGAGCTTTGCACTTCTCATTTGTGAAAGAGTGAGAGGTCTTTCTTTCTTTTCCCTGTTTTCATCTTGTGCTTGTTGTTACAATGTAGACCTGTGAAGTGCTGTCAAAACCTCAGAAGTCACTGGCCTACTTACTTGAAACTTATTGTGGGGTAGCTACGAACAAAATGTTGCAGGTTGGACATCTTGTCTTAAAAATGCACTATGTTGTATGAGAATCAACATCTTGATCATCTGATTTCGTATGTAAGATAACTATAGTGGTTATAGGCATTTGATGCTGAAATATTAATTTTCCTGATCATACTTGTAAGAATTTGTGAAACAAGCATTTTATAACATGTCTATCATCATGTTCTATTCTATTTGAAAATAGTGACGTCGCACTAGTTGCATGTTTGACTGTCCAAGATTTCCATAGAGCTATTTCAAATGATGTGTAAATTTACTAAACCTATTTTACTTACAGCCTCCACTTAAATAAGGTAAGGATTGTTCATATCCTATCTTGTTATACATATAACAGCCTTTTTGGTCTTGCTTATTTGTGGTTACTCATTAATGGTCAGCGAGAAGATTGGAGACAAAGACCCCTATCAGAAGATATGGTGCGGTATGCTAGGACAGATGCCCACTACCTCCTACATATTGCAAACTGTTTACTTTCTGAGCTGAAACAGGTTAATGGTATGTCTTCGTTCTTGCGTTTGTGTTTGCTGTCATTCATTTTTTTTTTGTATAAGTTGTATTGCAAATGTGGAGAAATAAAAATGGATGGAAGATGAACATGATGATAACTAGAAATAAGGAAGAAAATATGGCCACACTCGAGTAATGTATTAAAAGATTTTGTTAACTTAATATTGTGCAGTTTTCACAATAGATTCTACAGTGCAAATATTAACATCGATATTTTTTTAACATTAATATCTTAACATCGGTGAGCCACATTTCTTTTCCATCTACTGAAAATGTGAAAATTTTTAATTAAAAAATGGTTTTAGAAATTGATTCACGCGCATTCTTTTTATGGCATGGTAGACAAAATGTATAATTATGTATAATTTATTTGAGTGGCTTAAAAATTTTATTTATCAATTCAATTTTATTTTTCTTATAAACTACAATGATTTCGTTATTTTCTTAGGATTGTTCTTTGATACTCGCATCCATGTTCTATAAGTTTGAGATCTTGATATTTTGGTTGATATCGATATATCAATATTTACCTCTTGCTCGTTCTTCTCCTATTCCCATTTCTTATATCATGACTTTGACATTGTCATCTTTGATTACTCTAAACATTCGGGAAAAAACTTAATTTCATTTTGTGGTCTCAGTTTTAGCCTTTAAGGCCAGAGGCAGAGTAATTAACATTTTAGTTGGCTACCTTCAAATTATATATCATCCCATATCATTAGATATCTAAATGCATTAATGTATCAGAAAACTCTTCCACCGATGGTAAATTCAATTTTCTTCTTGAGGCTAGTCGGCGATCAAACATGATTTGTTTGCAACTTTACACAAAAGAGACTGAAGGTTCTCCTGGAGAGTCTGCTGCATCATCAATATGTTACCGTCATCTAAACAGTCAATTAAATTCCTTTAAAACTCAAGTGAGCTGCTTTCTCAACAACTTCGATCTTATATCATTTGAAGTAGTACCACAATACAAAATTTTGAAATTCTATTACCTGACTTTGAACTTTCAGTTTCAGGATCATGTGAGGAGATTATGTGCTTGGCGAGACTTAATGGTCAGTAATTAATCATCGTAAAAAAATGAAGAACATAATTGCTTATTCTCCAAGCTTTTTATATTTATTTTATTTTGATTTTTTATCAATTTGTTCTTATTCCGTTAGGTATTTTATGTGTAAGGGGGTTTCGTGTTTTCTAATTGAGGAGGAACCATTTCTTGTGTTAATTCTTTATAGGATGGACGCTAGGGTTTGGTTCACTAAGTGCTTTAAGACTCGCAAGATTCCCATAAAATTTCATCTATAAATGTAAATATTTGATGGGAGAGCATTTTCATTTCAATATTGGTATAATGGTATGGTCGAAGAAGACTTCTATTATGCAACCGTAGGCTTTTCCACCAACCTCTAGTAGTAGTTTTTCTCTTAATGTCTAATGTGCCCACCTCTAAAAAGTTGATATTGACCTTTTACTGTAAATACTCCCACGTAGTTGGTTGCTTAGGTTGAGAAGTAACCTTTCAGATGGCGAGACAGAAGATTGGGTCTCTGTGATGAACTCTTTGGTAGTTTAACCATTATACCTTAGTGAGGGTCCAAATTTTATTGTATGAAGATTGGATGCTTATTTATTTATTTTTTGATAGGAAACAAAAGAAAATTAAAATGAAAGAAGATTGGACATTAAAGGAGCATACTTGACTATGTTGTTCTATAGTCATCTTACAAATAGGGAAATCTTTTTACTAAATAGGTGGCTAGAGTTATAAGCAGGAATACATATTCCAAAAAGGTCAAAATCTTTATATTGTCTCTAGTCCTAAAAGACGGCTGTCATTTGAAAGAGAAATTATCTCAATTGCCTCTTTCCAATTTGGCTAAAAATTAGACATCATGAAGGTTAGACTTGTTATTTCATCGTTGAGCCTGACTCATTACCACCTTTGCTACTGGTTCCTTCTGCTTATAAGGACCATAATAAGTAAATTAACTATGATGGTTGCTTTTTAGCAAACGGAAGTTCCGCTATGACTGCTTACCTGAATCTGAGATTGTCATTTCATTTCAGGCTCGAGTTCATGATGAGAGCCTGAGATATGTGTTGTCAGATCAGGCTATTGCAGCTCTTGCTACTCAAATGTCAAAAAATTCGTGGGAGTTATATGCAACTATTGCACAAGCTGATTTGAATGTGGATTTGAGCCCGAGTCTGCTTCTTCCAGGCCCCTCCCCTGTTGTTTGTAGCCATTTGGATGATCTCCACTGTCTTCTCCGTGACAAGTCTGGTGACCCGGATAGTATCTTTTTGGGGATTTTACAAAACTGCATAGGTTCTAATGGCAGTTGTCCCCTTTCTATATTTAATTATGCGCTGTTGGTCAAATATAATCTAAAAATGATGACAATATCTAAAAAAAATGATAGAAGAAACGCAAAGAAAATGTCTAAAAAAGCTTCTAGAGAGCTTTTTGTGCAGAAGTTCTCCTGCAAATCTCCAGTTTATCATAATTGTAGGATTTATGCAAATGATGGGCGCTTGCTTTGCTACTGTGATCGGCGAAAACTTGAATGGTTGGTTAGCATCTCTTAGTTTTATTTCATGCAAGTTATAATTAAAACTGGTTATGCAATTGTGTTTGACAACATGCAGCTATCTTTGTATTTAAACAGGTATTTGCGGCGAGAGTTGGCAGAGCTTGTTGATGATGATCCTCCTGCCATAAAGATTCTTTTTGAACCTAAAGGCCGTCCCGAAGATGAGGGCAATGACTTTTATATCCAGAGCAAAAAGAATATATGTGTTGGTTGTGGTGAAGGAAACCACTATTTACGTTATCGAATAATCCCCTCATGCTACAGAATACACTTTCCTGAGCATTTAAAAAGTCATCGTTCCCATGATATTGTCTTACTTTGTGTGGATTGTCATGAAGTTGCCCATGCTGCTGCTGAGAAGCACAAGAGAAATCTTGCTGCAGAATTTGGAATTCCACTTTTTGTTCGTAGGGTGGTTGATACCAAGGAGGCCTTTGATTTAGTTGAGTCATCTGACTCGGCCACCAACTTTCAGGAGGAAGGTGTGTCACCTTTAGAATTAAGAACAGCTGCTATGGCCCTGTTGCGGCATGGACCAAGGATGCCACCAAAACGTCAAGAGGAACTCATGCATGTATGTGTTGTATACTTTGCAATTGAGATAGTCTTCGTATATGTGTCCATGTGATTTAGAAATAAACATGCAGTTCAATGCTTGAGATACTAATAATTGACTCGAGTCATCTGCTATCGTAGCCATTGAAAAGATCTTTGGTTTCATGATATCAAATGCTTAATCATTTAATAGTGCTCTATCTTGGTAGAAATTTATCATCCAAGATTTTCTTGGTGCTATAGGATTAAATTAATCATCAATTATAGTAATTAGCATGTTTTCATATTCTCCATCAGACGGTGAAGAAGGTCCTGAACATCATTCGTTAGTATGCTGTAGGTATTGGCCTTGTAGACAATGGTTTTTAGTTATGTAGTTCCCATTCTTGTAGAATCTTCAGTAACACCCGGTAATTGTTGATTATCAATCCCTCTGAAATTCAAATTATATATTTTCCTCATCTCTCCTATCTTTGTTGTGTTTTCAGGTTGTTATGAGATACTATGGGCGGAGGGAGATATCTGAAGAAGATTTGGAAAAGGCTCTGCTTGTTGGCATGAGCCCTCATGAGAGAAGACGACTTCAGAAGAAAAAGGGTATAGCTTTGAAACATTCAGGACAGCATATTTTTCCAGATGCTGAGCATCAGAATGGTGCTTGTAGCATTGACTCATCGACTATGACTAATTCATCCATTGGTATGTGCAGACTAGTTCACTTTTGCTGATACATGCATTTTGCAAAAGATAAAATGTTATTCACAAGGGCGGAAAATAAGTACTTCAAGCAGTCATTCTTTCTGTTCTAATTCAATGCAGATGCAGATGCAGATGTTAACAATCACATGAACTCAGATAATGGTACCGTGCCCGAAACATGTTTGCCTTGTGGAGAGGTCAAAGTTCCTGAGAACGGCTCCGCCATAACTGCTCAACCTAAATTCAATCCTAAATTGTCACTCTTGGGACATGGACCACATGGTAAACAAGTAGTGGATCATCTACTTGCAGAATATGGCGAGGATGGCATCCGACAGTTTTGTCAAAGGTGGAGACAAGTGTTTGTTGCTGCTATTCAACCTCGTTTCTTACCCGCTGGTTGGGATGTCAACCACAGGTACTGAATTAATTAACTTAAACTCCAAGCTTCAAAATGGGAGCACATATGCACGTCTCTTTTATGCTTATTTCTTGTCTTATATAAAAATGATTATCATTTCTTACCTTGTAAGGCATTGCACTATTTCAGTACCAATTACACTTCAAAGAGTGTTTGGGGTGAGGGGCTGGGTAGAGTCAATAACTCCACTCCAACGTAAATTAGAGCACTACGTAACAGTTTTTTAATCCATAAAAATCTCCCTATCTCCTTCCGCATGTCATCTACAAATTTACAATTTTTTTTTTTTTTTTGAAGTTTTGTTATGTTCATATTGTCAGTATTATTGGAATGGTCTGATTTGTGGACACTAGAAAGTTCCACTTCTTTTTTGTTCCAGTGGTAGAAGGGACTTCGGCGAATTCAGTGTGTACAATTCTATAAAGAAACTTTCTCCTGCTATTGAGTAGGAAATTTTAAGCACTGCAAAATTCTCATGTTGCATGTAATGCCAGCATCACATTCTATGCTAGGAATTAGCAGATTGTCTTCCAGTCATTCCCACAGGTAAAATCTTTCCATTTGAATGGTGCACGTTATGTTTCTGTTATTTTTAAATGTCTCTGCACTGAGGAAGTTGGTTTATTCAACTTTGTGCAGATTTTTTGTATTAAAAGATTAAGATGGCGGCATTGTCCTTGTCCCCATCTTGTGAGACTTTCATCTGTCTTTCTTTACTGGCTTCATGCTTGGCTCTGGATTTTTTTGACTAAGCATTCTTGAATTATTTAGCATAGCTTAGCGGATATAATTTGCAAAGGAAGGGAATTGCAGTAGAGTTTACCTACAATTTAAATGGAATTCATTACTGAAGTCATTTCCAGGTAAACGATTGACCCTTTGTCTTTTTAATATAAGGTTAATAGTCTTCTAAATATTTTACATTAATCTTTTAGGTAATTCTTCATTTGGTCTTTAACCTTCTGAAATTCTTGTTTTTTGTAATGTATTGAAAATTCTCAATGCTGTTCTTCCATAACATACCTAGATATGTGTGTATTCCATTTAAACATCCAAACTTAGGAGAAATAAGTATTTCTTTTAGCAGGTAGAGATTGATGACGAATAACATTCGAGGGACATGCTTAGAACAATAATTTAATGATACAACTTTTTTTTTTTTGTTTGTTTATAGGATCTAATTTAGAATTGTATGTATATTAGGAGTAAAATTGAGAACCTGAAAAGCTTAATGGTCAAATTGAGAATATTCAACAAGATTAGAAATTATTTAGGATATATAGTGGATGATTTTTATTTCTATTCAAAGGTTTAGATGTCAACATCAGGCAGAGTGTATTCTATCATATTGGATTATGCCTGACGTTAACAATCTTTATATGTCTAGGCAAGTATCTCACATCTTAACCAAAATTGAAAGATAAAAGAGCACACATTTAGAGATTCCTTTTCTACATATGAACTTTTGTTAGAATACCACATATACTGTGAAAAATAGATTAGATTACGAAGAACTTGAAAGTTCTTGGCAAACGTGTTTACTTTTTAAAAAATAAAATAGAAAATTTTCATTTAACGTGGAGCTTATAACCTTATCAGTCAACATTGTATAAACTGGTAAATATCAAAATCTTGACATTAAGAATGCTTAGTTAAGACACTATTTTCTTAGCCATTCTTAGAAAAGGACAGTCTAACAAACTGAGGATTTTGGGGTGGAGCTTTTTTTTCTAACAATTATGGCAGGGCCTTTGCAATTGAATTCAACTTGCGTAGGAGCAACAACCTAACAATCATAAGGTAAAGTACTTTTGGCCAACCATATATTGTAAGAGATGTAGATTTCAGATCAATAGCTAAGCCTTGATTTGATAATTGTTTGGTTTTTTATTTTAAATTTTTTGAAAATTAAGCTTTATTTTTTCATGATTTTGTACATCTTTCTTAGTCAAATTTTAAAAATAAAAACAAAGACAAATTTTTAATATATGGTACAAACCTTTTCGTTTTATTTGTTTATTTTGGTCCATGGCTTTTGAAACTTAAACAACTTTGATCATTGATTTTTTTTTTTTTTTTTTTTTTTTTTTTTTTTTTTTTTTTTTTTTTTTTTTTTTTTTT